TTGTACAGAATTCTTTTCTATAGAATTTAAGAAGCTAAGAGCCTTTGAATTATAGCTAGCAATCGGTATTCAGTATTTTAACTTACTGAGAAATGACTCAGATATTTTATGTGTCTATGACAGCATAACTTTAAAATTTCATATTACATGAGAATTTATTTATATTTAACCCATTTTTATTCACATAATTAATTTATATTTAACAAGTATACCCAGATTACTTATGAAAACTGACTTACTGGACAAACACACCTTAATTTCAAGTTATTTCCCTATTAAAAGAAAAGTTCAAAAAGTTGAGTTTCTGTGCCTGATACACAGGACACCACTGTGTGTCATTTGCACATTTGCTCTTAGGTTAAACTCATACTTTTATGGTCTTAAACATCTAAGAGGTCAATATAACCCTTCTTGGCCAGCAAACCCAGGCAAAACTCTATGCTAACAATTCTAAAGATATCTTCATTTTAATTTTACCAACAAATGTAAAACCAGCTTGTTTATCAAAAATTTACTTACGTCATGTGAACTAAAAAGTCATCTGGGTTAATTATTATCTGAGTCACTTTCTCCTCACTGGGACACAATACCTGATACCCACAATTTAAGGTAGGAGAAGTTTAGTTTGGTTTCTGAGGTTTCAGTCCATCTCAGCAGGCTTAAACAGAAAAGCACCATGAGGGGAAGGACCTGTGTAGATGAAAGTGGCTTACATCATCGTGGCCAGGAAGCAGAGTGAGAAGGGATGAGCCTGGGAGGGAGGTATATCCATCCAGACCACACCCCCAGGGACCCACCGCCCCTGACCCGACCCACCTCCCAACAGCAAGTCAGTTCTATCACCTCCATGATTCGGTCACCTTCCAAAAGCCCCAACTATGAGCACATGACAATTTGCAATATCCTTGATCTAAAGCATAACATTCTACCCCTGGGCCCAAAAACTGATGTACATCTCTTTATGCAAAATGCATATAGTTCATCTCCAAGAGTTGCAAAAGTCTTAACAGTTCCAGAATTGCTGAAAAGCCCAAGTCCACAGTTTCCTGTAAGACTCAAGGCAAACTCTTAGCTGTGAGCCCCTGCAAAATTAAAAAAGAAAGTTAAACACTGCTGGTATACAATGGGAAGGTAAATATTATCATTCCAAAAGGGAGAAATGAATAGGTAGAAAGAAATAAAACCAAAGTAAGACTGAAACCCGGCAGAGCAAACAATAAATCCTGTTGTCTGTGTCCAGCACCTCAGGCAAGTTATGGCAAAATATGACCCCCAAAGGTGAAAGGCTGCTTTGAGAAGAAAGCCCAGACACTAGAACTGGTTCTCTGGAATTCAGTTCACAGCATTTAGCCATTCAGGGCTCTCAGGTAATCCAAGGGGGTTTGGCTACTGTTCTAGTTGGTGGCAGCCCTTGGTCTTATTCACATAATGGGGGTTTTACAGGTACACAGTAGGCAAGAGTTGCAGGGTTAGAGAAGCTTCCTCCCGGATTTCCGAAGGTTTAGGAGGCCAGGCAGTGTGGCCCTGAGGGGGCAGTGTGTGAAGCTGTGAGTGAAGCTGAGAGTGCAGTTGAGATCTCAGAAAGAGGGAGAAGCCAGAAATGTGGAATGTGCTGAGGAAAGCCTCAGGCAGTGAGCACCCCCATCCCAAGGGAGAAGCCATGACAGAAACTGGCAATGGTTCTGACACTGTGTTAGGGTCACCTGCCAAACAATTGAACTTCAAGGTTTTCATTTGCTCTGTGTCAGGTAAAACAGCTGAAAATCAAGACCAGACCAGGCCACAACACGCCTTTATTGCAGGGATGATCTGCTGGCCTCTCTCTGAACAAAGGAGAGACAAAAACAATATGGCCGGGACGGGGAGCGCTTCTTACGGGAGCTGGGGTGGGGTTGGGTGAGGTAGCGGCTAGGGACTGGAGGAGCCTGTGACGTCACTAGTTGCTAGGAGGAGAGCAAGTGTTAGGTTACTCTCTGGGTGGGAGTGGGGGCGTGCTGGGAAGAGGAAGGCAGCTGTTATATACAGCAGCCACCCTGAATCGGAGGGAAATCTATCACTCTGATAGTGGGTAGTCTTAAGAAGGCTGTGGACCAGATTTTTGGGTAAAGCAGTTCCCGTAGCAGCTTTGTTTTTACAAAGCCTCTTTTCCCCTTTCCTCTCCTTTTTTAGTCTCAAACCAGGAAGTACTTGCTAGATGTTTGTGCCTTGGCCAGGATGGACTGGCACAACTCTCCAAACAACCCTGAGTGCAACAACAAAATTGCCGTTTTTTTAATCTGCCAGTGTGGTTTGTTTGACTAATCAATATGGGGAGGAAATATTTTAGAAATGGTTTTTAAAAAATTATTTGCTGTTTTTCATTTTTGTTTTTGTTTTTCAGGTCCATGTGACAGACAAAGCAATTTTTGTGCTAGACAGAGGTCTTTTATTATTGCTCTGAGCCCAAGGTTTTGACTTAGGCATGATGGTGGTTGAAAAAGGCAGAACTGTTTTATCAGACTGGGCTACTATTTGCCAAGCAAACTAGATTTCCATCTCCAGAAGAGCTGCCTCTGTCTGTGTTGCCATGGAGCTGTGTAAATTGCAGTCATTAATTTGAAGTTGTTTTCTTTTCCTTGTCTTGGCTGAAACACAGGAGAAGACTTTTACCAGGATTGGCCCTATTTTTGTTTCAATTTGTCTTTAATAATAAAATAAGGAAAAAGGTCAACAGATACGAAATAGGCGAGAAAACAACACAGTTAAAGAACCTGTAGCCTGTACATGTTAACCCCGAGTTGTAGTTTAAGCGTGACCTTTTCCCACTGATTTAAAACTGACCGCCAAAAACCATATCTGAGGAAGGACCATACATAGACTGCCGGAGTCCTGGGGGAATCTTGGTGGCATGCCTTAGAATCCTGGGATCCCACTTTGTTTCTGATCCATCTCCTAAGACTAGAGAAAACCCTGTAAAACCTGTCAGGGAATTCTAAGGATTTGGGCAAAGTATTTTGCTTTGATCAACATCTATGGCCTAGGATTCTATTTGTTTTAGTTGCCAGATGTCCTTTGCCCTAATTCATGCAGCCTGTGACCAGGTCTTGTAGTTGTATAGAAGTCGTCTTGTGGTGATCTTGCCTGTCATCAGGAGATCTTCACAAGCAGGAAGGAGAGGCGTTGGGGCCAGTGGTTTTTCTTTGGCCATCTTGTCTTGTCCTCTAGAATGGTTATTTTTACTCCCAGAAGATTTTCAGAAATATGTAGGGAGGAGAAAAGTTAAAGAGGCAAGTCATTCATAGCTGTTTTTTGTTTTTGTTTTTTTAAGCTGGGGGCAGTACGAGTCTTGCTATGCTGCCCATGGTGTACTCCAACTTGTGGATTCAAGTGATCCTCCTACGTCAGCCTCCCCTGTAGCTGGGTCTCTAGGCATGGCCACTGCCTGGCTGCAAGAGTCAAATCACTTATAGCCCACAGCAAAATAAACCAAAAGAAGGCACTCCCAAGAACTTACAAATAAGGCATGCCTATCAAACAAAATATTAAGTTAGGTGCCCAGAGTCAAAAGAGAATTCTGGAGAAGGGCCACAAGGTCCTTGCAGAATGTGACTTCTGTGGAGATCTGGGTGCTCACCAGGTCCTCATACCAGGAAGTACTCGCCCTCAGTGTCCAAGGAGTGCAAGGGTCTTTATTTAAGAAGGCTATATTCGAACCAGACCCCAAGGTCAACAGGGAATCTCTTCCAAAGGGAGGGGATTGGACCTGCCAGAAGACGCCAGGACAGAAGAACGTAGGAATCAGTCTGGTTTACCAGAGCCCTTTGCTGCTGTCCCGCGTCTCAGAAGTGGTGGTGACTCCAGGTTGGGGGGCCTAGGCTGTCCAGGAGTGCCCCACAGACACAGCAGGGTGGGGCCGACAGGAACCCCTGGAGGCAGTTGGAGCCAGGTAGGGGTGGCCCTGGGCCCTGGGAGGCTCAGAAAGTTGGGATTGGTATGGGCCACTGAGTCCTGTGAGGCTGGGGAGTGTGATGTGGAGCTGCAGCCTGTGGGCCTGGGGACACTGAGTGACCCTAGGGCTGTGTTGTGCCCAGGACCCGTGTGCATCTGGAGGTGATGCCCTCTGTGGGCCCTTGATGCTTCACAATCTGCCCAGCATGGCCTTTTCTCGAAGGTCCCTCCCTTGTCCTGAACCCTGGCAGAGGAAGCCTTGCTCTGTGGGCCACATGCCGCCGTTTGGATGCTGCATCCTCCTGCACTCCAGGCCTGGCTCCGGGCTACACCCACCAGAACTGGATGATCTCCTGGGGCAGCCTGCACCCACACAGTGGGCCCTCATGCAGGGCAGCTGGCCACAACCAGGGACCAAAGTAGCAGGAGGGTCCTCTCCCCGCTCAGCCCTGCACTGTCCCTGCTGGTTCTCTCTGCACCTGGGGGAGAAGGTTGAGCCTATCCCTGTACCCCTACAGAGCACCCAGGGTGGCTCTGCACCTCCAAGATGAGAGGTTGGTGTGAACCCCAAGGGTCCCTCCAGCCACGATCACGGATGGCGCCCTCATGGGAGGATCCCCAGCCCCTGCAGAGGACGACACTGAGGAGCCTTGGGGCAGAAGAGAGGGTGGATACACGTGGACACAGTGTGGGCCCAAAGTGTCCCCCTGTATGACTTTATGGAATTGGGCTTGCAAGTGACCCCCCATGAGGGGAAGGGCTGCAGTCCTGTGTCTCGCCCTGCCTGGAGCCCAGGACACTGGAGGTGTAGTCTGGAGACACTGCTGTAGGGGACAGAGCCCCGAAGGACCCGGCCCAAGTTGTAAGCAGAGGCCCCTCTGCTTTATGATCATGCCCTGCAATGAGCCAATGAGGCCAAAGACCCACAGGCCTGGAGGATGTGGGGTGGTGCCCTGGGCTGGGCTACAGATGACACCTACCACCTGCCCTGGGGTGAGGTGCCAGAGGATCAGGTTCTCCAGGAGGTCCCTTTTCCTCCCAGGCCTTAGTTTTTCCTCTGTGACTCAGTGCCCCAAAGAGGGAGTGGGCACTAGTTTGTATTGCAGCACAGCTATCCTGGACAAGCCGAAGCCCTGCAGTGGACCGACTAGCCACACAGAGCAGGGATGGCTTTGGGGGCTGCTCCCCCAAACTGATGCACCCCCCAGAACCTTGAGGCTCTGGAGAAACTGAGGTCTGGCCTGGGCAAGGATGCCTTTCAGGTGCAGCAGCCTCGGCCCTCTGCAGTCCTGTTTCCCCTGTGCAACAGGGTTCACTACTGGTCTCCGGAGCTCCCATCTCTCCTGCTCCATCCCCAGGCGGACCCTGCTTCTGCAGGCTGTGCTGACTCGCCCCCCACCCCCACCAGGGTCCCTGGCTTTGGGGAGTGAGCCAGCTGCAAAGAGATGTCTTCTTGTGCTGCTCTGCCTGGGGACACGTGCAGCCCACACCTGCTCCCGCCTGGGCACAATTGGCCTTTGAGAAGACAGGAAGCTGCTCTAGAAGCCGAGTCAGTGGTGGGGTCGACAGAGGCCAGTGTGCTGCCTGGGTGGAGGTCGTGGAGGCAGAGGACCCAGGTCGGGGCTGGAGGTGGCTGCAACAGCCCTAGGCATCTGCGAGGCCAGTTCCTGTTTATGTGAGTGCTCATCCTTGACCCTTCTCCATCCTGGGGCCCCTGTGAGGTTCGCAGGTCTCACGCATACTGTGGCATCCTGCTAGTGACCTCTGTGTGGGTGGGTGGAGGCTCTGTGGCTGGCAGTGGCTGGTGGGGTGCTGGCTGAGGGCTGACAGCTGTGTGCTGCACAGAGGGCACCCCCCTCTTGACACAGAGCACAGGCCTCCCCACCTCTCTGTGTTGGGCTGCACATACTCCTTCACTGCCTCTCCAGCCTCAGTGCAGAGGGGACAGGCCCCTGGCAGGTCCAACCCATGACCAGTGCAGGGGCTGACTGGGGAGGGAGCAAGCTCAGGGTTGGGGCTGCTCCTGGAAGGCAGCTACACTCCTGGCTGGCTCCCTGTGGAGGTTTCTTGGGTGCCCCTCAGGCTAGGGCCTTACAGGTGGGGATGTGGGGTGAGGTGTCCCAGCAGGGTGCTGATCATAGGGATCCTGTCCCCTGCAGGACCTGTCCTGTGGGCGAGGAAACAATGTCCTACAGAGGTTTAGGAAGTAGGGCCCTTACCCAGGACCGCTGCCCGCCTGTCCACCCCTCAGCTCACCCCGGCCCCTCCTCTCCGGACTGAAATGGGTCACAGGGCTCCCCAGGGTGGTCTCCCCTCCCTACCCCGCTCCCCTCTGCTGGGGGTCAGGGCTGGGATGGGGTCAGGACCCCTCCGGCCCCTTGGAGCCCCCGCACTGTGCAGGCTCACAGGGGGCCCATGGGGGCAGCTGGCAGTGAGGGGCCCCTGTGCTGTGGACGCTCTGGTGCCTTCTGGGCTCCAGTGTGGGGTGTTTGTGTGGTGCTGCACGTCTGTGTGTCTGTACTGTGGCTTCCCTGGGGTTGTGTCTCCTGTGAAGGGACCCTGAGCCCCACCTTGTCCAAAGCTCTGGGCCCCGACTGTCCTCTGCAGACACAGGCTGACAGGGTCTGGGCATCGCACAGCAGGAGGGAGGAGGGGCAGGGTCCAGGGCGGGACCCTTCCAGGCGGGCACAGGGAGGGCACGAGTGCAGGGTGACCCCTGCCCGCACAGCATGGGCTCTCCGCGTGTCCCCGCGAGGACCGTGCTTTTCCGGCGCGAGAGGACCGGCCTGACCTACCGCGTGCCGGCGCTGCTGTGCATACCGCCTCGGCCCACGCTGCTGGCCTTCGCGGAGCAACGGCAGAGCCCCGACGACGCCCACGCGCACCGCCTGGTGCTGCGGCGAGGCGCGCTGGCCGCGGGCGGCGTGCGGGTGAGTGGCGGCGGACGCAGCGGGGCTGGCTAGTGCCCGGGACGCCTGCAGCAGCCCCTCTCTCCCACAGTGGGGCGCCCTGCGCGTGCTAGCAACGGCCGCCCTGGAGGAGCACCGCTCCATGAACCCCTGTCCCGTGACTGACGCGGGCTCGGGCACAGTCTTCCTCTTCTTCATCGCGGTGCTGGGCCACACGCCCGAGGCCGTGCAGATCGCCACGGGCAGGAACGCGGCTCGCCTCTGCTGCGTGACCAGCCACGACGCGGGCCTCACCTGGGGCGGCGCGCGGGACCTCACGGAAGAGACCCTGGGTGCCCAGGCGCAGGGTAGGCGGGGCCGGGAGGGGCCAGGGGAGGTGCAGGGTAGGAGGGTGCAGGGGTGGGCGGGGCCTGGGCTGTCAGGGATCTCCAGGGCTTTTGGAAGATACTGGCCGTGGGGGACCTCCAGTCTGCTTCTCATCCCCAACCTCCTGCCAAAGGTGACCCCACACCACGTCCCAGGGCTGCCTGGGAGGGAGGACTGATTGCATTGGTCTCCCGCCTCTGCTACCTGGGGCTCTCAAGTCACTGTCCTCTTTTGGGGCTTGTCTCTGCGGAAGAGAGTAGCGAACCCAGAGTTTTCGTACCCCAGACCTGATGGCCTTCCTGTCTCCTTTACCGCTTCCTTTTCCCTCTTGCCTTTTCTTCACTTGGCCCGGAGGGCCTAGCCCAGGGCCTTGGGAGCCCAGCTTTTCCACATCTGTGTTGCCCCGTCCCCAGTCCAGGAGCTGACTGGCCATCGCTGTCCACAACTGCTCTGACCTCTGCTTGTGGGCTCTGGCTATCCAGTCCCAGATGTGGGCACCACACCAGGGTGTGGACAGGACCCAGGCAGGATGCAAGGCTGACCCAGGGATCCACAGTCCATGTGCACCTACCTGCCCTCGGGCATTGCTTGTGGCCACTCACCTGATTTGGTGCCATACACCAAGGGCCTGGCCCAGGCTGGGGCTGCGGGCTCGGTAGTGTGTGCTTGCCTAGCACATTTGAGGCCCTGGTTTCCATCCCCAGCACCGAGACAAAAATCACACCCAGCCATGTGGGCTCCAGGACCCCCCTGGACAGCCCTGCAAGGCTTGTCAGGCCCAGGAGACTTGGGTCACACATGGAACCCCAGTCAGTGGCCCTGGCCAGACTTCTTGCCCCTCATGCATATGTGGCCCAGGTGGCCCCTCCAAGGGTTCCAGCAGCTCCTCACTGCACCCCTCCTCTCCATAGACTGGGCCACCTTTGCTGTGGGCCCTGGCCACGGGATCCAGCTGCCCTCAGGTCGGCTGCTGGTGCCTGCCTACACTTACCGTGTGGACCGCCGGGAATGCTTTGGCAAGATCTGCCGGACCAGCCCCCACTCCTTTGCCATCTACAGTGATGACCAGGGCCGCACCTGGCACTGTGGGGGCCTGGTGCCCAACCTGCGTTCAGGCGAGTGCCAGCTGGCTGCCGTGGGTGGGAGCTTCCTCTACTGCAATGCCCGGAGTCCCCTGGGCAGCCGTGTGCAGTCACTTAGCGCTGATGAGGGCACCTCCTTCTTGCCTGCGGAGCTTGTGCCCACCCTGGCAGAGACTGCCCGGGGCTGCCAGGGCAGCATCGTAGGTTTTCCAGCTCCCACCCCTAGCAGGGAGGAGGAGCCAAACCCTCCTCATCTGTGTCCTGGAGTCCAGGATCCCCTCAGTGGGCCCTTCTGCCACCCACAGCCCTGGGAGAACAGCCAGGAGCAGCCTGGCCCGGAGCCTGGGCTTGGTGGGGATGGGGAGGCCTACACCCCAATGCTCCCCTTGCCCTCTGTGGCCCCAGCACAGAGCCCCACATGGCTGCTGTATTCTCACCCAGTGGGGCACAGAGCTCGGCTCCGCATGGGCATCTACCTGAGCCGGTCCCCCCTGGACCCCCACAGTTGGACGGAGCCCTGGGTGATCTATGAAGGCCCCAGTGGCTACTCTGACCTGGCAACCCTTGGGTCTGGGCCTGGGGCAGCCCTGGCCTTTGCCTGTCTATTCGAGAGTGGGGTCAGGGCCTCCTACGAAGATATCTCCTTCTGCATGTTCTCTTTGCGAGAGGTCCTGGAGAATGTGTCAGGGGGCCCTGAGATGCTCCATCGTTCGGGCAAGCCCTGGGAACACTGCCGGCCCTCCTGACAGGCCCTCTGCACGCACCCAAGGCCAAAGGGGTTGACTAGAGAGAGGGGAGGAGTAGGAGGCCACATGGCCCCCAGATGGACAGAGCCCTGTGCCAGCTTCTCCACGGGTCACAGAGGTGACCTAGACCTAGGTGCAGGACCTGCTGCTCTAAGATGCTCAGGATGGACCGCTCGTCAGGAAGGTGGGGAGGTTTGGGCCTGGGGCCCTGGCCAAGTGGCTACCACAGTTCCATGGCTGCACCTCATGAGCCTGGGGTCTCCCCTCGGCCGTGGCTGGTTTTCTCGTAACATTTGATCTCTGGCTACTTTTTGGCATATGAATGACAAATAAAGGGATTGCATCTATCTCCGAGTGAACATTTCTTTCCACGTCCAAGCTCGGGGAGGGTCCAGCGGTTGAGTGTGCTTCTCTGGCGCCTGCCCCTCACCCCTCACCCTAACCGCACTCCATTCCCCAAAGCTTGGGGCAGCTGGCAGAGGTGAGGATGGAGGAGGGAAGAACGTGCGGCCTCCATCCATTGCCTCCTTGGTGCCAGCCTTCTCCATGTGCGATTGGCTGATGGGCAAGGTCTGCACAGCTTTTGAACTTCCACCTGGGGGGCAGTGGGGTCCAGGGCCCTGAAAGAGAGCTGCCTCATCCTGCCCGGATGCCCCTCCCCCATCCTGTGGGGACATGAGGAGCTGGACCTGAAGACAGTGTCCCCTTCCCCACCCTGGAAGGGTGTGGGGCTCGGCTGTGGGGCTGTTCCTTCTCCTTTTAAAGTCCTAATTTCTGATTATAAAATAATATGTATATGATCGTTGTAGAAAACTTAGCAAGTGTGGAAAGCTATAAGGAAAAAGTTAAAATGGTCCCCAGGGACCCTTCTTCCCTACAGCTCCCCTTAGGCTTCAGGATGTCCCTACATCCCGATGTTGATCTGGCTCGGGTGCGCCTTGTGGGTCACACATACCCGCAATCATTTCTTCACAAATCCCTTCCAGGTGACCTTTGTCCAGCTATGACCACGTGTGACAGCTCCTTTGGGTCTTTTGGTCACTCACCTCCCTAAGCTGCCTCTCTAAGGGGCAGGGATCCCCAAGGGAACAGAAGGGCTTCCTTCTCTGGTCCCCTTCATGCTCAGACTCTGTCCTGCAGAGAGGGGTGCTAGTGTGAGGACCGCATATGGTTTAGATCTACAAAGTCCCCCAAAACTATCGTGCTCAGAGGTGGGGATTTTGGAAGGCAGTTGCATTCTGGGGTGCTATACTCAGCAGTGGGGTCATTCACTAATGAGTTCATAGCTGAAGGCACTCTTAGGAGGTGGCCTGGTTGGAGGGGGTCACTGGGGCCTGATATGGAAGGGAGCGTCTTCCTCCCTGGCTCCCCTCTCCTGTCTGCTTCCCGGCCACCACGATGTGCAGCTGTCATCCACTATGCCCCTCTCTTTTCAGTCTATGTGCTGCCGAAGCGAGCACCGCTATGCCCCTCTGCCATGCTGTCCTTCCTTGGAACTGGATGCCTATGGGCTCTAACAAACGGTCCAAAATAAACCTCTCCACTAAGCTGCAAGTGTTCTGTATTGTGTCTCAGGGATGACAAAGTGACTAAGACAGCTCCTCCAGGCACGGGTGGGGTGAAGAGGCTGGACCCGGTGTTTCAGCGCCCCGAGCATTTCCACCATCACCAGGGCCTTGGCCCCTCCAAGGAGAGCCATTTTTCTGGACCCATATCTTAATCCATCCAGGATGCGCCAACACAGCTCCACAACCAAACGGCTTTTGTTGTTTGTTTGCTTTGAGTAAGCTTCTGGGCCATGGTACATAGATGCGATGTCTAATAGTCAGCCTAACAGGCCTGAAGACATCCCCCTCCTGATCCCAGAACCTGTGAGCTGTGTCTGCAGGCAAAGGCACTCCCAGATGGGGTGAAGCTAAGGATCTAGAGACAAGGAGACCATGCCAGGTATGTGGGTGTTTCTGATACAGGATATGGGGTCTTCTGGCAATAGAGCAACAGAAATGAGACCACGCCAAATATTCAAGCACACGTGGGTCAAGATAAAACTTTATGGGGGTTGGAGGGGCTCGGCCAGTGGGAGTCACATGGATCAAGAGAGCAGCCAAGCTCCTCACAGAGCAGAGAGAGCAGAGTGCATTTGCAGATCTGCTGGTGTGGGCAGGCATCCAAGAGTTTCCAGTGGCCAGGGGGATGGTTCTGAAGGATGCTGCTTCTGTGACCCCTGGTGGTCACAGCCAACTTGCCCTAGGATTTGCTGTTGAATTTTCATCGTCCTGTGCGGAACACTTGGCTTTGTGGTTTGGTCCAGGTCTAGGATGTGCTGGAGGGCATCAGGGGCTCTGGCTGGTACAGCTGCTGAAGAAGCAAGTCTGGGCAGAAAAGGCAGAGAGAAAGGAAGAGGCACAGAGCAGGGCCCCTGACAGAGGCCAGGTTAACCCTGTGCTGTGCTCCTGGACTGATATGTCTGTGTGCAGTGCTGTGTGGACTCCGACCCAAGGATGAGATGGCGAGGGACAGATGTGATGAGGACAGACACCAAGCTTTTTGCACTTTTGTCACGATCAGGTGTCTGTCAACCCAGGAGAAGAGTCATGACTCTCAGCAAGAGCACTCAAGAAGCAACCCAGGCAGCTGTCGTCCTCACCCATGCATCAGAGGTGTTGTCCACATAGCACTGGTGAGAAGCTCACCCTATGCTGCGTGACTCCACATTATCCATCGTTAAGTCGACTAAGAGCAAGTGAAGCTCCAGGGCTTATTGGGGTTTCCCAGGAACATTTCCCCCATTTGGTGCAAGTGCTCCGCTTCTGTGGTCTGACCCGGTCTCACAGTGGGCCTGTGCAGAGAGCACAAAGGTTGAGAGGAACACGCCATGCACAGAGGGTGGCTCACCTCAGTGGCGGGGGTTTGTGCCCCGGGCCCTGTCTCGCCCTGGCGGTCCCTACTTGTCTCATGGTGAGGGGCTGGATTAGAAGGTGAGGGGCTGCAGCAGTGGCTGGGGCTGCAGCTAGGAGGTAAAGGGACACTTTTGGGGACTCTGGAGGGAACTGGCCCTGCCCATGCCTCTGTGTGGCCATGGCCCCTGTCAGTCACTGCCCTCCGGAGCTGTGGAGTCAGCCTGTCCTGTCTGAGCCACCAAATGTGGGCCACAGGCTGTCTCAGCAGCCCCCAGATGTGACTCGTGTGAGCAGCGCCCTAACCCTTCTCTGAGCCCTGCTCCAGGGCCCGGCCTGAGGCTCCTCTCCAGTGTCTCTCAGGTGTGTTTCCATCTGGTTCTCTCTGTGCTGCATCCTGCTTGGTTCTCCTGACTTCTTCCAATTCCCCAACTCCTTACAGCATCTGACCAGCTGGCGCTGTGCTCTTACGCTCTTAGCCCTGGCTGCCTCCCCCTTCTCTAAAGGCCCTGTCTCTCTCTCTGCTTGTGCCTTTCTGGCTCTGTGTCTCTGTCTATCTTGGTGTGTTTCTACCTCTGTCTCCTTATTAGGTTTCATGTTCTCCTCAATTTCTGTACGTGGGGAGGGAAAGGGTAGACACACATGGAAGTATTCTCAGGCCTGATGTGGTTGGTAAGTCTCATTCTGTCCGATAGGAACACAGGCTCCTGAGGCAGATCTCATTTCCATTTCCAGGTGTGAGATCAAGGGTCCACAATAAGCTGACATGGTGCCGTTTTTGGGGACCGAAGCCAGCTTTCAGTCATCTGATTGGTTCCCACCGAGGCTCTTTTAAATGACTTCCCTGTGATGTGATTAAAAAACTCACCACATCCAAAAATGCTGTTTGACTAGGACCTGGAGTCTCCTTTTGTCCAAGGCCACCCTTCGATTTACAGTGCTCCAGGCCTTTCCCCGTAGATACACTTCCCTACCCTAGACAGGACTGTCATGTCACCAGGACTCTGTTTTGAAGGTGGTAATGCTGAGAACATGTCTGTTCCCTCAGACAGGGCTCACCCCAGAGCTGTGCCCTGATAACCAAGGTGTGTCCAGTTTCCTCCAGGCTTCCATGGTCCCTATGGTGTCCCTGGCCAGCTCCTGCCTGCAAACTAGCAGCCAGAGTGTTTTCTCAAGCTTTGCCCATACCACACCTATCACATGCTAGGCAAGCACTCCACCATTGAGGTACACTCCATCCCTTTTTAATTTATTTTTAAAGAGGGTTTTACTAAGTTGCCCAGGCTGGTTTCAAACTTGCAATCCTCCTGCCTCAGCCTCCAGAGTAGAGAGAATTACAGGTATGCACCACTATACCTGGTCTGATGGGTGTGTAAAATAATGAGCCACTGTAGAAAATTGTATGGAAGTTCCTCAAAGGGTTATAGAATTACCATAGAATCTATCAATCCCACTTCTGGGCATATACCCAGGAGAATTGAAAGAAATATTTGTACGTGTGTGCCCCTAGCAGCAATAAATTCATCATAGCCGAAACATGGAAGCCACTGCTATGTCCATTGGTGGGTGAATGGACAAACAAATGTGAGATATTCACACAAAGCAGAATCATTTAGCCCTTAAAAATTAGAAAATTCTGACACATGCTACAATATAGATGAGCCTAGAGGACATTATACTCATGAGATAAGCCAGTCACATGAAAAATACCATATGATTCCATTTAAATGAAGTCGTTGGAGTTGTCAGATCCAAAGACACAGGAAGTAGAATGGAAGTGCCAGGGTGCCAGGTTGGGGAGGGGATGGGAGGTAGTGTTTATGGGGACCGAGGTTCAGTTTGGGAAGATGAAAGAATGCTGTAGACAAATGTTTCACAACAGTGTGATTGTACTTAATGTCACTAAACTGTATTCTCACAAATGGTTAAGATTCTAGATTTTATTTTATGTATTTTACCTCAATCTTAAAAATTGGGGAAACCCCCACATAATATACGCTATAGTGTAGACATACCATAGTTTACCCTGCATTTCCCCACTAGGGGTGTTCAGATCATTGCTGGTGTCTCCCATTACAAACCAGGCTGAAGTAACACCCTTGAACACAGGTCCTTGTGATGGGCCTCGATTTCTGTAGGGCAGATTCCAGACCAGGGTGACTGAGCAGAGACCTCTCTAATTTTGTATTAGATAACTCTTCTCATGAATCACACACTCCATGAGTGTGTGAAGGCTGCTTCCTTGCACACCTACCCCCACTGAACACTGCCCTTTCCGTTTGATGTGCATGGTGGCTCGGCAGTGCAGTGCTTGGTGTGGACTCATGAGAAGGTATGAGGATGCCTTGTGGCCAGACAGGTCTCGATCTTTCCTCCATGCCTGCTGATTTCCTTCCTCCTTGCCGAAAATCACAGACCTGCCAGGTTCCACACTAGGGGACGCTATGCTA